AGAAATGGGGAAATGGTTGGAGAGGGCAAGAAAAAGTTGGGCTTCATTCCCGGATTCTTGTCCTGAGCAACAGGTGATGTTCTGTCCTGAAATGGGGATCATTTGTCAGGAAGACAATTTTGTGGTAAAATAACAAGTTTCGATTTAGATATGGTAAGTTTCAGATACTCATGAAACACATAAGAATAGATGTCTAGATGACTAACAATGTATCAGTCTAGATTTTAAGAGAGAATATGGTATAGAGCTTTAGATTTGAACACTGTCCACATATAAATAGATGATTATTGAAGTTTTGGCAATAAATGGTATCACCAAAGGATGGTAGTTTTCTGTCTACTAACATGAAATTAATGGCAGTGTCTGATACAGAAGCATTTTCAAGTTGTAAACCATTATTTTGATTACCTTGAAGTTATCTCAAATAAGGAGACAAACATTTTGATTTGGTCTGCAGGAACCAAGCTCTATTATAAGGGCTGGTAACAGTAAGGAATAAGATGTTTACTTTTTGCCATAGAGGAGCTTACAATGTGATGGAGAAGACAGACCAAGTAGTTTTAGAATTACAGTAATGATAAAGCTAATACTACCAAGTCACTTGGCCCACACTGTGCTAATCATTCTCACAGCTTAACTCACTGAATTCTCCCAACAATCAGTTTAGTCATTTAGTTAATCTCTTGGGTTATCAACTAGTGGAGTCAGGCAATCTGACTCCAGAGGACATAGTCTTACTAAAGGGGTTGTGTAAGTGCTCTGCCAGTGGAATGAACAAATGTGGTGGGAACATGGGTAGTGGAATAAAAATGGCTTTAACTGTTTGGGAAGTAACAAAGGGCTTCATAGAGGTGATATTTGATCTGAATTTTGAACAGTCAGTGAGTGGGCTTTTGCCAAGAGAAGCATGAGGGAGAAACTTGAGCGTTGGCATCAAAGTCATGCGTAGACCGAATGTATGTTTGGAGAACTGCAGAAAATTCAGTGCGGCTGGAGAATAGGTCCTCAGAAGGGAGGTGGTAGGAGAGAGTTCTAGAGAGGTGCTTACAGACCAGTTTGACAAGGACCTTGCAGGGCAAGCTTAGTAATTGAAATGTAATCCTATAGTTAGCGAGCAGCTGTTTAAACATGGGGGCAAATGTGCTAAAATTTGTTTGAGGGCAAGATTACTTAGGCACAAATGTAGAAGGTGCATTGAAAGCTAGGAAACAAGAAAGGAAGTTTTGGTAAATGGTTGCAGAAAGACAGAAAGGATAGATTCTAGGGAAATTGATGGTTAATTCCATAGGACTTTGTAACTGATTATATGTAGAGGGTGAAGGTGGGAAAGAAGGAAAAAGGGCTTTTATGTTTCTCGTGTGGGAGACGATGAGGATGGGTGAGAGCACTGATGAAGAATAAAATCAGGGCCAGGAAGGGTGACGCGCAGGGAGATCATCCAAGCACAAGGGAATACTGAGACCAATTCTCTTTATACATGGGGATCAGGAAGTATAAATGACAAAAAAAAGTACTTAATATGTGACAAATGCTATGTTAAACTCTTTACACACATTTTTGAAGTCTTACAAGAACTTAGTAAAACAGGTGGTGTCATCATTTTTCACATGACAAAAATATGGCTCGAAGTATAAGAAACTTGCTCAAGTTCATAGAGTGGCAGAGCTGGGAAATCTGGCCAGATCTGGTCCATTCTAAACCCTGTTCCTGACTAATAATGAATTGTCTTCCTCAAGATCCTGCAGTAAGTTATAAAAATGTTAAAAAGAAAAGAGATAGTGTATGGTGATGGGGAGATGTTACCAGAGAAAGGCTGGCTAACCATCAAAGATCACCAGGGTGGCATTGCCTTGTTGATTAGCCACAGTACAGGACCCTGAGCTAAGAAGCCTGGCTCATGGGCACTTTCAAGCAAAGTGGCCTTGCAAATGCCAGCTTCTCCTCAGCTGAATTCACTGAAATTAATGATTGGACAACATTATCGGTTCATTCACATTGAGAAATACACTTGGCAAGTGATCCAGATGCTGAAGTCCTCTCGTCAGCATGCTTCCTCCTGAACTCAAGCTACAGGGGAACTAAATTATTATCAGAACGTTGCTTGCTGAACACAGAATAATAACAGGAAGAGCTTGTTTGTAAACTTAATATTTAAGAATATGAACCCAAGAGCCTTTATGTGTTTAGCTCGACAGTAGTAGGCATGGAGAAGGACTCTTTCCAGCAGTTATGGCAACAGGCAGACCAGAGAAGACAACATGGGTTCACATATACTTGAATGATTCCAGTGGTACAACTATGCCAGTGAGGAAAAAACAAGTCAGCATTCAGTGCCCACACATGCTCCTGCCCAGAGGCTCAGCATATCCCATCTCAGTATATGATATGCTACCCATGTCATACAGCTGTATGATCTCCCCCTTTAACTTCTATTCAAAACCCAGCTAAATTCAGTCCCAATCCCTTCTGCTGGGTAGGGTTAGTATGGCCTTTACTTTGTTCAGTCACTGACTAACACGTATTCCACTTGCATATGGTTTGGTTGCCTACGTCATTAACATGAGGAAAACGTCTGGCTGCCAGATCAATTAGAAATGAGTCCATCGTCCCTGCTTAACTAAGACCTCTGCTCCCTCTTCTAACTGCAGTTATATCATTAGCTTCTTTATTTTTGTTTTCACAAGAATATGGGATGGTCATAGTTTCATATTCTTTATTTTGTCTGTGTCTTCACACATTTAATGGACCATGATGTGTTCTCCTGAATCCACTAGTAGATTCTCAGTCTGCCAATATAACATGCTCAGTATTTGCAAACACATATGACATAAATACCGCTTCACAGACTCTCTAACCAAATGCATCTTACACTCTAATTGCTTAAGCTTATTTCTCTAGTCTGATAGAGTTACTGATCATTATTACCCATCTCCTGTAAGCCAAGCCAGACAGGAACTGGATCCAAGCCACCCTTTCTTTGATGGTTACTTCCAGTGTTCCCTCTGTGACTTCCCTCTGTGAATTTGTTAGCATTTGTATCTTCCATTGCTGATTAACTCTCATCACTTTGGTATTCTTTTTGGTACTGTTACACCTTCATTCAAGTTACTCAGGTCCTTCCGAGCTAGAAGCTCTTTTCTCCATTTAATGTGAAATTTTATGATACATCAGGTATCATACATCTTACGACCTAACTCTCAAAGGACAATCTTTCATCATCACTTTCAAGTTCTTACATGCC